CGTTTCTGCAAAATGCTGTAGAAAATGCTTAGGTGTGAACCCAGGGTTAGGCTTTTCTCTTCAATGGTAAGTAATTTCACAATTGTATTAACTGTTTAGTGTTTTGTATAGGGTGGTGTACTAATGGGTGGGTTTTTTCCCCAGAGTTCTTCTTTAATATTAAATGTTGGTTGCAGTAGTTCTTCTGTTCCCAATTACTTTGATAAGATTCTTGGTTCATTTCCCGGGAAGGTAATCCCCTCTGTTCACAGACGCCCTTCTTAGATGGTGGCATTGCCAAGTATATTATCAAACCCACTCTTCCACCTAGCGAAGGTTCTGGATCTCCTATGGTTTACTGCAATTTCCTGTTCGTGGAGGGTCTTTTCTTATAACTGCCACCCCTAACCCCCTTCCACCCCCCCCCCAAAAAAAAGAGGGCTACATAAGAAATCTTTAGAAGCCAGATATTCCATTGTGTGACCCAATTCATACAGCTCTTCCATGTGCACAAAGGGCTTTGAGAAAAATCCAGAGTTAGCCACATGCAGCATTTATTATTATTATATACAGGATTTATATAGCGCCGACAGTTTGCTCAGCACTTTACAATATAACGGGAGACAATACAGCAACAATACAGTTCAATACAAGAGGGATAGGAGGGCCCTGATCCTTGGAGCTTACAATCTAGGAGGGAGGGGCTAGTGGTAGAAAAAGTAGTAACTGTGGGGGATGGACTGGTTGGAAGAGTAGAAGATTCCAGTATTAGCTGATAGGCTTCCCTGAAGAGATAGGTTTTCAGAGGGCGCCTAAAAGTGAGCAGAGTAGGCGATAGTCTGATAAATTGGGGTAGAGAGTTCCAGAGAACAAGGGGAAGCGCTGGAGAAGTCCTAGAGACGAGCATGGGAGGAGGAGACAAGGAGCTAGAGAGTAGGAAGTCTTGCGAGGAGCAGAGAGGACGGTTTGGGTGATATTTGGAGACAAGATTGGTGATGTAATTTGGGGCGGAGTTATAAATGTCTTTATATGTTATTGTTAATGTTTTGAATTTTATTCATTGGGCAATGGGAAGCCAGTAGAGGGATTGGCCGAGAGGGGTGGAGGACACTGAGTGGAGGCCAGTGGAGGGATTGGCAGAGAGGGGTGGCAGCTACAGAACGGTTAGTAAGGTGGATGAGTCTGGCAGCAGCATTCATGATAGACTGAAGAGGGGATAGCCTGCGATGAGGTAGGCCAATGAGGAGGGAGTTACAATAGTCAAGGCGAGATATAACCAGGGAGTGAATAAATTGCTTAGTGGTTTCCAAGGTTAGGAACGGCCGTATCTTGGAGATGTTGCGGAGGTGAAGTCTACACGATTTGGACATTTGTTACTTTATCAACTTCTCATGGAAACCAAAAAGAAGGATGTAAAGAAAAAGACAGTGACAGTATGGGAAACATGTCTGGAATTCTAAAATTACTATACATGCAATCTGACAGTAAGGGGGAACATTTTACAGATAAGTTACAAACAAAGAAAGGCAAATAAACATCTTTGTACAAGAAATTTAACACATTCTGTACAGTCTTCACTTTGCCGTCATCATTTGTACAAACTCTGCAAGAGAAACAAACAGAAGTTAGTGAGTGTGCCAACTCGGCAACTATTCAAAATGGTTCTTTGACTAGCCAATATGAACCACCGCCCCCCATCCTGACCAGGCCATTTTTTGCGATATGGCTCAGCAGTACTTTAACTGACAATTACCCAATCATGCCACGCTGCACCAAAATTAAATTTATGTCCTTTTTTCCCCACGACCAGGTACACGCTCCCCCAAAAAAATTGCCAAATGTGGCAGCAGAGGGGGTCAAGGAGGCAGATAAGCGGATTTCCTGACCAGGCCATTTTTTTGCAATATGGTGCTGCGTTAATTTAGCTGCCAATTGTGCGGTCATGCAACACTGTACATAGATGAAATTTATGTCATTTTGTTCCCCACAAATAGAGCTTTGTTTCAGTGGGATTTGATCGCCTCTGCATTTTTTATTTTTTGTGTTATAAACAAAAAAGTTCCAACAATTTTGAAAAAAAACAAATATAGCAATAAAATTTTAAAAATCAAATTTCTTCATAAATTTAGGCCAAAATGTATTCTGCTCCATGTGTTTGCTAAAAAAAAATCCCAATACCTGTAAATTAATTGGTTTATGTGAAAGTTATAGCGTTTACAAATGTCGGTATAGATACTATGATTTGTTTTTTTTTAATAGTAATAATGGGGGCGATTAGCGACTTAAAGCGGGACTGCGGTGGGCATTCTGAAACTAACTGACACTGACCAACTGACACTGACATCCCCAGTGACACCAATACAGTGATCAGTGCAAATAAAAAGCACTAACACTGTACTAATGACACTGGGCAGGAAGGGGTTAACATCTGAGGTGATCAAAGGGTTAACTGTGTGCTGTGTGTGTTTACTGTGTGCTGTGTTTTAGACATGCTGTGCAGAGAGATACAAAACAGAATGTCTATGCTGACAGGGGAGAGACCTGTGTTGTTTACATACAGACCTCTCCCCTGCCAGTGTTCTTTGGTGATTGCTGGGTGCCAGCGGGAAATCTCCGGCTGGGACCCGATGATCGACAGCCATAGCTGTCCATGCTGACAGGGGAGAGACCTTTGTTGTTTACATACAGACCTCTCCCCTGTCAGTGTTCTTTGGTGATCGCTGGGTGCCAGCGGGAAATCTCCGGCTGGGACCCGATGACCGACAGCCATAGCTGTCCATGCTGACAGGGGAGAGACCTATGTTGTTTACATACAGACCTGTCCCCTGTCAGTGTTTTTTTTGGTGATCGCTGGGTGCCAGTGGGAAATCTCCGGCTGGGACCCGATGATCGACAGCCATAGCTGTCCATGCTGACAGGGGAGAGACCTGTGTTGTTTACACACAGGTCTCTCCCCTGTCAGCTTTCCCTGACTATGTGTGCAGTGAGTGATTTACTGTATAGGCATGCTGCTGTGTATGGCTCTGCAGAGCAAAACAAAGCAGCATCCTGGAGCTGACAGGGGAGAGATCTGTATTGTTTACATACAGACCTCTCCCCTGTCAGTGTTCTTTGGTGATCGCCAGGTGCCAAGGGGAATCTCCGGCTGGGACCCGGTGATCGACAGCCATAGCTGCCCATGGCGGTGTGGGTAGGGCGGCGTGCATGCCCCCTACCTGGAAATGCAAAATCACATTGGGGTTTGTGCTAGAAGAGGTGATATGGTAGCAAGGGGGAGGGAATTTGTGTTAGGATGAGAAATTTTATTTGGGGGGATTTGTGCTGGTAGGGATGACTGGGGTGTATTTGTGTTAGGAGGGGGAAATTTTTTACAGGGGATTTGTGCTAGTAGGGATGACTGGCGGGGGTATTTATGTTAGGGGGTGAAATTTTATTTGGGGGGATTTGTGCTAGTAGGGATGATTGGCAAGTATTTGTGTTAGGAGGGGAAATGTACTTTTGGGGGGGATTGTGCTAGTAGGGATGATTGGGGGGGGTATTTGTGTTAGGAGGGGAAATTTGGAGGGGAGGATTTGTGCTAGGAAGGCGGAATGGATGGAGGGATTTGTGCTGCAAGGGGGAGATTTTGAGTGGGGGAAGAGCATTTGTACTTGGAAGAAAAATTTGAGGGGTGGAGGATTTGTGCCAGGAGGGGGTGATTTTTTGGTGGGAATTGGAGAGAGAGAAGATCTGAGCTGGGAGGGGGGGTGGGGGGGGGGGCAAAGATTTGTACTGGGAGGAAGGGAAATTCATGCAAGGCATTCAGATTAGTGCTCGATTTTCTTTTTTTTTTTTGGAGGGGGGGGGGGGGTTCTGAAACATAATGCTCATTTATCTTGGGGGGGAGGTGCAGTTTGGCATATTTGCCCTGGGCTCTAGATGACCTTGTCCCAGCATTGCCAATTTTTGTTGCAGACGATGCCTAAAATCTAACTTGTATCTTTTTTGCAGACTTCTGGGAAATCAGTGAGCCACGTTTCTGGGGTGTTTTTTAACAACATTAACCACTTCCCAACCGCACTATAGCCGAAAGACGGCTACTGCACGGTTGTCCAGTTCTGAGAGGACGTCCATGGACATCCTCCCAGAATGTGCCCCCAGAGCACCCCCAGCACTGCTGGTGATCGCTGTGTCCTACGGACACAGCTGATCATGTGCTGAGGTAAAAGTCCAATCACAGCGGCATTTTACCACGTGATCAGCTGTGTCCAATGAAACAGCATGACGAAAGTACTGCCGTTAACCGGCAAATGTGACAGGGGAGATCTGCACTAATAATCAAGGCACTAATTATCAGTACCCTGATTATCAGTGCCGCCCAGCAGTGCCCAGCTATGCCACACAGCAGTGTCACCCATAAGTGCCCAGCATTGTCACCCATCCGTACCCAGCAGTGTTGCCCATCAGTGCTGCCTGTCAGTGCCCAGCAGTGCTGTCAGTCAGTGCCATCTGCCAGTGCCTCCAATGTGCTATCAGTTAGTGCCACCTATCAGTGCCATCTATCAGTGCCCATCATTGCTGCATATCAGTGCATCATCAGTGCCTCCTCATCAATGTGCACCAGTGCCACCTCATCAGTGCTACCTATCAGTGCTGCCTCATCAGTGCCCATCAATGCTGCCTATCAGTGTCTATCAGTGCTGCCTATCAGTGCAGCCTCATCAATGCACATCCGTGAAGGAGAAAAATTACCTGCTTGCAACATTTTATATTTTGTTTTTCATCCGTTTACATCCGTTTTTCATCAGTTTATATCTGTTTTTGTCTGTTTGCATCCATTTTTTGTCTGTTCTGGGTTTCTGTACGGAAGAAAAATAGGGGTTTCTTCCGTTCAAAAAAATGGATGTTAACAGATGGGACATTAACAGATGTAAACAGATGATCATCCGTTTTACATCAGCTAGTCCATAGACATACATGGGTGTCCATTTTTCATCCATAAATGGTCAGATGAAAAACGGACATATGGAAGGCCTGTGTGAAAGAGGCCTTAGAGCATGGGTGTCAAACTGTGGCCCTCCAGCTGTTGCCAAACTACAAGTCCCATGAGGCATTGCAAGATTGACAGTTACAAGCATGACTCCCAAAGGCAGAGGCATGATGGGACTTGTAGTTTCGCAACAGCTGGAGGGCCGCCAGTCTGACACCCCTACCTTAGAGTGTAAGAGCACTTTGATTGCAGCTGCTCTTGTGCATAGCAGGTGTATAATTTATCTTGATGCCATCCAATCCAATTTGCTAGATGGAGGGGGAACGGATCCCCATCCGTTTGCTTTTAGTGGATTGGATCAGATTGAATGTAGGCGGGTGTAAATAAACACATGTCCATTTAACTCTCTATAGAGAATGGAGGGTCAATCTGGTCTGCCTGAAAAACTGACAGGTGGACTGATTGGTCTGCTCATGTGAAAGGGACCTAAATGATACTTTACATTAAAGCAGTCTTCAACCCAAAAGCAAGCATTATATTATAGCTTACCAATTCTCAGATATGGTGCATTAGTTCCCCTTGTCATGCTTGTTTTTACTACTTTTCAAGAAACTTTTTCACGGGACCAATCAATTCTGCAAATGTAACGGTTAAGAGTGTTGAGATAAACCATTTACCACTGACAGGGTTGCTTACAATGATCATCTTTTATTTATTCATGTAAAACCTTTATCCCAAAAGAAAAAACTTTTCGGGCTCTTTCATACCGGAATGCGGTGCGGTAGAGCCTCATTCCCGTGCTGCGTCCTGCACCGCATTCCAATCGTAATGCCCTTGCAATCTGCTGTGGGGGTCAGTTAACGTTAATGACACCCTGAACGCAGGTCACAAACGCATTAAGAAAATAACTGCTGCAAAAGTCACTACTGAGCTTAATCTCACTCCCACCAAGACTGAGTCCCATGAAGACTGAGATTGAGCTCTGCAGTCACTTTTGCAGCAGTCGTTTCAGTTTTCCGGACCGCAATCCTGCGCAATGTCCTTTTGCCTCTTTTTGTCTATTGAGCATATCGACCGCGTTTATGTTTATCAAATGACGTTTTCCCGGAATCTGTATATGTCGTCATAACCTTTGATGCTGGACCTCACAACACGGCAAATAAATTGGCAACTTCAGTCACAGAGGCACCAGCTAAGCAGCACCAACAATTTGCCCTCTTTGAAGCTCAATAAGCTCTGACATGACTCCATATTACTAGCAGCACATGCAGTGAGTGACAAAAGTGAGGCTTCACACCTGTTAGATAGGTGTCTCATCACACAGCAGAAGCAAAAGAATGCTACATCACTTTCACTTTCAACGCAAAACATCATCACTTTCACACCTGCAAATCATGTAATGTTTCTGTTTGTTTTTGTCTAACCCCTGTATGTAGCCACATGTGCTTTAAGTGTCAGAAGCTACAGTGCTTGACTGGAGAGAAGGGGGCCACACCAGAGTGCATTGGTGTTTATGTACTATCCTGCAGTAGTGACCAATGGGAAATGACTGGATTCTTTGGTCAGCTCAACTAAATCCCACACAAAAAAGTAACAGAATCAAGATGACTTCTACATTTAGCTGGAGAGTCACTTAAGGCTTCAGTCAGGCAATTAAGCTGCTGCGTACAGATGCGACTAAACTATACAGCCATAGATGCAAACTGGACTGGGAGCTGGAACTGCCAGCCCAAGACACAAAGGGGTTTATTTACTAAAGCTGGAGAGTCCAAAATCAGACTCCTTTCTGCATAGAAACCAATCAGCTTCAAACCTCAGCTTGTTCAATGAAGCTTTGGCAATGAAACCTGGAAGCTGATTGGTTTCTATGCAGAAGGGAGTCTGATTTTGGACTCTCCAGCTTTAGTAAATAAACCCCAAACTGTCCAAAGACCATCAGAGGCCCTAATGCACTGGCGCTCAACCTGTGGCCCTCCAGATGTTGCCAAACTACAAAAAACCCTATCATGCCTCTGCCTTTGGGAGTCATGCTTGTAAATGTCAGCCTTGTAATGCTTCATGGGACTTGTAGTTCCACAACACCTGAAGGGCCACAGGTTGGGCACCCATGGGTACAAGGGAAATGCAGCAGAGCAGGCCATTGAGGGTAACAAATCTGGCTGTGTTCGCACAAAGTGTGCATGGGAATAGTTTCCCTGCCAACAAGAATTAGTGTGAATGAGGCCCAACTTCCCAATACATATCTAAGCAAAGGCCACTTAGGTTGAAAGAGTACAAAGACTGATCACAAAGCAACCTACCTTCGTAATATACTTGACCTTCTCCATCAATATCTCTTTCCCCGATCATTTCATTAACCTCTTCATCCGTTAACTTCTCACCAAAGCTTTCCATAATTTGACGGAGCTCAGCAGCACTAATGTAGCCATTACCGTCCTAGAACAGAAAACAGTTAAAGATTCTACAGGACTTAACAAAGTGAATTAGGACAGACGTCTGCCTTGTGTATTAATGCACCCATGGAAACCAGTTTGTATGCCATGTCTTCAGTAGATTCTCTGTGATAGTGCATTGGCTGAAGAATGATTGCTACGGGGAAATTTTGTTCCTTCATAGTGACAAAGGCCGGCTGCCTGGTCCGAATCTCTACAGGAAGTTTGACATTTAGAAGTGTTTTAATAGCAACTCTATTTCTCAATATAGGTTTAGAGGTGCTACAGGCAGAGTTTTTGCTGTAATCCCACATACAAATTCAAATACTAGGTAAAGCTGAGTATCCTGCAAGGAGAGTTTAAAGTATGCATAGTAAGGAGCTGAGATAATGAGCCATAGCTATCAGTAACAGTGCGCTTCCATATAACAGGAAGAAAAAAAGCCTGGAGACTCCACCATATTAGAAATGTAAAATCTGGAGTGCAAGCTTCAGGCAATACTACCTCTGAATACTAGTCAGCTTTGGAGAGAGATTTGGTGATGTCACTGCTGTGCTGCTCACTGTTCTCCTTGCTGAGAATCTGACATGAGGAAGCAGAGCCTTGTCTACCAAGATGGCTGCCTAATAGTATGGAAAGTCAGTAATCAGCAAACGATCAGCTGTAGGGAGCTTACAGGCAATACTTGCCATGGGTCCTTTTGTTTTTTGGACAGTTTCTAGAGTTTTATTCCTCTTTAAGGTCATGTGACTTGTGCATTGGGGACCCATTAAATTGGAGTTTTCTCTAAAGCCCCATGTGTCCTACAACATCAACATATCCAGTCTTTTCCTGCAAGACTAGACCTTGACCATTTCCACTTTCTTATTTTCCTTTGATCAATGAGGCCACCCATTACTTTACAGGGCCAACAGAAAAGGTCTCTACCAAGTATAGCACAGGTTGGCTACCACTATTCCTGATCTACTAATTGTTCTGACAAGCTTTTCCCTGAAGGAAGCCTTTTGTTCATGCATTGTTACATGCCCAGTTCAACAAACCTGTCAGACTTGTACAATGTGTAGACTAATCTGTGACCGGCTGAAATATTTCTTCAATATCACAAGTGTGTAACTCGTGTACATACCTTTCTATGCAATATTAGGGCCAAGCTCATTGCACTCAACAGAACCTAGCCATTAACTGGCTGCCAAGGTAAACACGAGTGAGTGCTTTTTCAGCAACTACCTGTGTAAAAGTTACATTGGGAAGACAACATACCAACCAAGACCTTGTCTACACTTCGTACATTTCCTATAATGCTTCCTGCATTCATAATCTCTGCAGTAGCACAACAAAATGACAACTTCACTCTGGTTCAATGACCCTGAAGTATATTCCAACAAGGGCAACCATGTACACCACTCTTAAATTTGCAAGATTGAGCCCTGTTTGTGGGCACAGCACATCCATATGGAAACTGGGATGTGCACTAAGCTGATCAATGAAATGGACTGCTATCCTAGAACTGGTGTGCAGCCATTTATCCTTTTATGAATGGAGATGAGCTCAGAGCTTTAGTGACACCCTGGGCTGAAAATAGTCCAATGCTTGGAGCAGTATTTTGTTCTAAATTACTAGCAATGCTAACTGTCCCAACCTCAGCTTTTGCAGAAAAGCTTGACCTTTGTGGAAATGTAGCTATTTATATAAAGGAATTCATATATGGAATACTATCATTATATATTGTCTATTCCCCACAATACATACAATGGGGGTTCATTTATCAATCATGTTACAAGACAAAGCAATGCTAAGCAGGAGCAGCAAGATGCATTGTGATAGATTACAAGGTTACAGCCATGAGTCAAATTCCTCCTTTGGCTGCTCTAAAGTAGCACTGACTAACCAAAACTTGACCCTGAATCTGTGGAGTGGAAATCAGCCTTATTTTCAGCAATAGTTTTAATAGAGAAGTATGGGATTTTTTTAAAAAAAAATCATACTTCCCTTGGTGGATGCAGCATCGATCCGATGCTGCATCGATCCGATGCTGCATTTGTCCTCCATTGGCTCTAAGGCTGAGAACTCAGCAATCAAACATCACTGTTTGCTCAGTTCTCCCCATCTGTCTGAGCAGAGAGCCTGGACTGTCAGTCACCGCTGTCTGCTCTGCCCCTACAGTGATCACTGGAGCGCTTGGCTGTGGAGGGGGAGGAAGCGGCTGGCTCAGGCTCTCAGCAGATTGCTGAGAGGCTGAGCCAGGTGCTGGCCCAGGCTCCTTGGTGGATCCCGACCATATGGTCACTATCTTTCCCCATCCTGGACCAGCTCTGTGACAGCACCAGACAGTGGGCTTTAGCCTGCTGTCAGCTGAAAACGGAACAAACTGAACAAACTGCACTTCTGTGATCCACAGGAGAAGTACAGCCAAACGAGCTTCTCCTTCTCCTTTAATAATGAGAGGACAATCTCTTAGTCTCTTTATCTCTAGGTGATTGGGAATGTTGAACAGTCCAAGGTCTTATGGTACACCATAAGGAAGTTTCCTTTGGCATTTGTTATCTTGCGTCCTTGCATAACAATTGGTATCCAATGTGATTTCCAGATCGCTGTACAGTAGCAATGGCACGTTTTCTCCACACTATCTCCAGGATCCAGCTGAGGACAGGGGAATGGCCAGAACTTCAAGACCCCTGTGAAGGCTGTCTCAGTCCATGGTTACCACTGGTACTAACATCCCGAGAATGCACACAGTCACTGGGAATCAATTCAGGGTCATTACTGTCCCCAGGACAGCTGCCACCTTTCAGCTTCCTCTGGACATGGTCCAGTGAGGGAAACAATCCTACTCCAGACCAGATCCTTTGGGGTGAAGTCCTACAGCCAGCTTCTCAAGAGACTTATCCAGATCCTCAGCACTGATGATGCTGAAGCATCAAGAACAGCCACACAGTCCATGGGCTGCCTAAGAGTAGCAGCCCATAAGACTTTGGAACCCTCCTGGGAGAAGAAGCAATCTCTCCAGGGCTTCAGACTATTTATCACCTCCCTGGCCATTTGCTGGACACGTCTCTCCAGGGATTGGCCAGAGCTTGACAACTATTTAGACTGTCTATTTGAATCTCCCTCCCCAAATTCTGGAAGCTTCATCCAGAGGCAGGGAGAAGCAGTCAAGCTCCCAGCCTGTGAACCCTGGCCTGAACAGACCAGAACAAGAAATCACTGCTCCCTTGACTACAGAATAAGCCAAAAATTACATTTGCCTATCATCCTATGCTAGGAGGGTGCTACATACAATATTACGTTGTTTTTGGTTTAAGCACCACTGGAAATCTGAAAGGTACCACTACCAGCATTGCATTATCAAAGGGAATGTGGTCTGACATGGAGGAACATGTTCATTTTGAAAAACTTTAGGCGATGTCGAGGGATTCTTCTAACCCACTGTGGTTAACAAGGAAAACATAGACAATTTGTGCCTAAGGACTCATTTACAAGCTGAAACAAACATATATTTAATTACCCAGCCAAGTCTAAATCTCATTTATGGAGGTATGCAAAGTTACCCTACCACTTCATAAACACTGTACAGAGTTTATATAGCAGCTTCTAGTTCAGATTGGGTGTTACCTTATCAAATGCACGGAATGATTCTCTGATTTCCACTTCACGGTCTTCTTCTTTCCTTTTGCTTGCCATTATAGTCAAGAATTCAGGGAAATTATTTGTTCAGTTGCCTGTAAAGAGACAAGACCTGTAAGCTTTTGTTCAAACTGGCACCAAAAGAGTTTTGGATAATTAGAGAACTAATTCAAGTCAAGTCACCAATGTTCTGAGAAAGCCACACCCAAACTGGATTTACATCCTCTAGATTTATATAGGTAGGACTGTTTATGCATTTATAAAGGGAGCCAATAGATTATCGCTTTCAAAACAGGTTGAGCCTGTCCCCATTACTTAAGTAATTTGCATTATCTTAAGTCAGTATATACAAGCATGGTTGGATTGCTTAATTGTTGTATACACATAAAATATTGCACAAGAACTACATGTAATGCATAAACTCACAACCAACTGTCGGGATCTGCTGCTCTCTACTGTTTGTAAGTGGCTCTGCTGCTTATTGCTCACAGAGATTATTTATGTAGATCACTTTCTGTCTCTGTGTGTCTGGGTCAGAAACCCCAGAAGGTGAAAGTGGAGAGAGAGAGAGAGAGAGAGAGAGAGAGAGAGAGAGAGACAGAGAACTGAGCCACATGGTCTTATGCACACAGGGGCTGCTACTACATTTTCACCCACACAGGGAGCAGAGACTGTTAGGCAAGTCTTCGTATTTTAAAAGTTTATCTGCAGCTGCCCATAGCTTCTTGAGTGTATATTTAGATCCTTGTGACAAACTTATCTTTGTGCTTTGGTTATTATGTCACATGTACAGTGTCAGAAAGGTAGGTCTGTGTTACTGTATGTATGTAATGGTCACCATTCAGCATATTAGTAGGTGAACCTGTTTATTGCGATAGAATTTATATGCAGCTCCTATTATTTTGGTTAACCCTCTCCCTTCTGGTCTGGGATCCTATAGCTAGTTTTAGCTCAGGGCTCAATAACCAGCTAGAGACAGGTTAGGCATCTGATGACCACTTCAGGTAGTTAGAGGTCCAGTTTCATGTCAGATTAGATGCTACTAGAGAATA